CACCGAAAAGTAAAAGTGCTGGTGTACTGGACCTTGTTTCGAAGATTAGTCCCAAGAAAGAGCGCTGCTCACAGGCAAATTGCAGACACTTATTTCGGTTGACGTACAGGCATTGCCCCAAGTGCGGCGCAGCAAACGAGAAGTTTGACGCAGAGGAGTTTGCCTTGAATGGCCCTGGTAAGAAGCCAGGCTGGATCAAAAGACCCTTGGCAAGCTCTTGAATGTGGGGTTCTAGTTTTCACGGCCTTTTTAAGTGAGTTTTGTCATGCAAGAAGCCGGGCTGTCGAAAGAAGAAGTGTAGCTAGTCACCCGCACCTTGAGCAATTGCAAGGCATGGTTCCTAGCATTGAGCCACAGAACGAGAAAGAAAAGAAGGTTGCGGAGAACACAGCTGATTGGCTCCAGTCAGTGCGGAAAAGGTCGACCGCAGCTGCATCTGTGCCAGCTGCTTCCACACCTGTTCCACCAACCCCTGTGCCAAAAGCCCAAGCAGCACCTTCGACTCCTGCTGTCCCAATGCCGCCTGCTTCCTCTGAACCCTCTCCAAAGGATGAGGAGTTTGACATCGACACTCCGGCGGGAATCGTCTCTTTGCTCGAGCATGTCTTCAAAGAAGCAGAGCTCACGCATTGCAAAGTGTCGAAATTATAGAGCACTATGTGGCACACCTTTGTGAAAAGAAACCCAGAGGTCAGCCCTTGTCGAAATACTTTCGTTCAACCTCCTGGGACAGGACTGAGAACGATTTTAGAAGTTCCAGTGCTCGCAAGAAATTTCTGACTTTTTGGAGGGATGAGTACAAATCTCGATACATCCGCTTGAGCGATCTGAAGTGACTTGGCGAAGAAAGGGTGTGCAACTGGCAGCGTTCACATTGGGGAGAGAACCAAGGGATGACTTAGGGGTGACTTTTTCAAAGGTGCGTTCACATTGGGAAAGTCCTCAAAGGGACGATTATAAGGGGTGACTTTCTCGCTTCACTGTACGCCAGCTGGAACGTGCCCCGCATGATTGGCCTCTCCGCCGCCGCCATCCGCCGCTTCTTCGAGGCGCTGACGGAGCGCTCCAGGCTCGCCGGCGAGGAGCGCTTTTGCGTGGAGTTTGTGGACGCGGTGGAGCAGCTTGCTTCCAGCCAAGACAAGCTCCAGAAGGTGCAGCGCGAGCAGTGGATCGCCTGGGGCATGATTGGCTAATCGGTTTATAATGATGGCAAGAGGAAAAAAGGGACGATTGGTTGCGTATGCGCAGACAAAAGACACTTTCTGCGCCCCAGCCCCCCCCCTTGGCCAGGAGCCCGCCGCAGCGGAGCACTACACGGATCCTGCATTTCCGCCCGAGCCTCAGAAGCGAATGTTATTTTGAAGCGGGGTGCATGAATAGTACACAGTGCATGTACTCGTCTCTCGTGCCGGCAGCCTTCTCAGCTCTTCGTTTGCTAGTCTTTCAATCTGCCATGGCAAACTGGGGCGATGTGGAGATGCCCGTGGCGCAGCAGCAGTCATGGACCCTGCAGCAATAGTGCTTTGCTGCCAGATCGGCGCCGTCCTCGACAGCTCCAGCGGGCAACCTTGCTGGGCGCCTGTGGTGGCTTGCTTTGCGCAATGGCCCCACGGGCATGATGTTGGTCTACGCGGAGCCGTTCATGCTCCCGCAGGCTCCACAAGCTGACGGGCCCGCGCCCTGCGTTGAAGAAGCTGCCGAGCCCCCGCCCTGTGTGGAAGAAGCAGAAGCGGACAGCGAGCCCCTTGCGGAGCCGGAGCTTGCCAGAGGCACAGAGAAGCATTCGAACTCGAAGCAGCGCCGCATGAGGCGCCAGCGGGCGGCAAGTCGCCTGTGCCAAGGGCATCATACCATTGGCCCGCCACCGCTTCCAGGACGAGATGCTCTCTACAGGATTGCTATGGAGAAGCGGTTGGAGTTGTGGCGCTCCCTGCCACTGGAGGCGGCCGAGCGCAAGGAGCTTGCCGCGGAGATTGCCCTTGGCCAGCCTGGACCGGCGCAAGAGCCTAGCGCTCCAGTCCTGCTTGCACTTCCAGCCCGAAGAGACATCTTCCTCGCTGGCTCAGGCCTCGTCCTTGTGGGCTGCGGACCCGGAGGCCTGCGAGGGCAAGCGCTGGCTGCAGCTCACCAACCACCCCCATGGCAATTTCGTGGTGCAGCTGGCCATTCGCATGGCCACGCCGGATGTGGTGCAGCTCTTGGCCGAAGCGCTCTCGTGCCCGAGATCAGTGCGGGTGCCGGGTGTTGCAGGGGATCTGGGAGCGTGCCGACCTGTCCGAGCTGGCCCGGGCGCAACTGGCTAGCCAACTGGCCGCCGAGGAGAGCCTGCCAGAGCTGCTGTGCCACAAGTACGGCAATTTTGTGGTCGCAAGCGCCATCTTGCACGCGCCAAGTGATGCGGTCAGGGCATGGTGGCTGGACTGCGCGCTGCCACCGGAGCAGATGAGATCCTTCTGGAGCACATGGTGCTGGTGGCAGTGCCAAGGTCAGAAGAGCGACCCGGTGGGAACGCCGCCTCTCTGCAAGGCCGCATACAAGATTATCTGGCTGAGCCTGCGGCAGCTCGCGGAAACGGAGCTCAGCCACTTCGTCCAGTCCTGGCTGCTCAAGGCATGCCCCGACTGCGGGGTTCTGCTGGAGATGCTTCTGAGCCCTTGCGATAACAGCTACGGGCGGGCTCTGGGTTACCGCAAGTGACGTGGAGAGATTGCGCGCGTGCAAAAAAGAAGGCGGAAGGGAGGGAAGAAGGCAATAGCAAGTAATGCTGGCTCTAGGTGCTTTTTCTTTGCGGCTGCCGCAAAATGTTGTATGACTTCTGAGGTGAGAGCGGCCTCCTCACGAATCTCCAGCTCTGTCGCATGGTACTAAAAAAGCGTTTGGCAGCACGGAAGAGACAAGGGGAGAGAGAGCGCATGCAGTAGGCTTTAGAGTGTTTTTTACTATCGATAGTTCCACCGCAGCCTTTCTTTGTGCACGAGCCGGGAGCCCTTTCGCACCAGACGCCCCTTGCGAGATGTCGGCCTCCTTGCAGCACAACTTCAACCAGGACGACCTGCTGTTTGCGCAGCCGGAGTGCCTGCGGCCATCCGACACCCGCATGGCCAAAGTCTTCGACGCACGCAAGCAACAGCAGGCCCTAGCCATGAGGGTCACGGCCGAGGCGCGCTTGCGCGATGCCGCCGGCACGGCTGCTGGCTTGTATCACTGCGGCGAGCAGGTGCTGCACCCAGGCAAGTGCCAGGGCGCGCTGAAAATCCAGTCGGAAGAGTCAGTGGCGCTCGTGTGGTGCAGCTGCTGCAAGCAGCTCCTGGACTCGACCGACAAGAATAAGCGCTTCTACGAGCAGTTGAACAGCGCCAATGCCGCCCTGCCCCTGGATTACGTCTTGTTGCACAGCTTTGAAGACGAGACCTTCGTCCTGTGTGATTGGGCAGGTCCGGGTGCTTTGAAAGTTGGAAGGCAGCTGAGCCGCGTCAAGCCGCCGCAAAAGCCCAGCCTCCTGGAAGCAAGGCAGATGGACGAGGGAGAGAAGATTCACGAGCTGCTCGTCAACAAGAAGCGCTGCGCCGAGGGCCATGAGGATCCTTCCAACAAGCGCGCAAAGGAGCAGTGAGCTAACTATGCAGAGCGGGAGGTAGTTTTTGAGATCTAGCCAAAAGGGTCAACGGATGGATGCCAGCTGCTTGCACTGTTTCGTGCACAGATTCATCAACTTTATTAGGCCAGGGGAAAAGATGAGACGAGAGAGAAGAGTGCATTCGTTCACCGTAGTTTTTTGGCTCAAACTCACCATTTCGCTTCTCTAGGTGCGCGGCAGGCAGATGGGGGTGGCGCGCTTTTGTTAATCCAAGTTTGTTTCGTTTTAGATGCATTCAGACATGCCGTGAGGTCTATCCATCCACGCTGAGTCCCTGGGTCGTGTTGAAGGAACAGCCGAAAGCTCAGCCCGCATTACAAGCCGTTGAAGCAGTTTTTTTGATGTGCAAGTGATATATATTTTTCTTATATTCTCTGCAGCAGTGTGAGCTCTCAAGCTAACGCATTTGCAAGAGCTTCTTGACGAGCCATGTTCATGCGGGATCCGGCCAGGAACCCTGCCTTGGATGTGCCCTTGGAGGACCTCGTGGCTCCGGTGCACAAGAAGCAGCAGCGGCAGCGGCGCCGGAAGAAGCCTAAGCGCAACCGCAAGGGCGCAGTACGGGAGCGCAACAGACGCAGCCCTTCCAGGCGCCGCCGCCGCAGGAGCTGCAGTTCTGGGCCGCCGGGTAAGACGCCGCCATGGCAGTGACACCTGGCCAGAGCATCGCCACAAGAGCCGGCGGGCGAGAAGCCGCCGCCGCGGCGAGAGCCGCCGCTGCGGTGAGAGCCGCCGCTGCGGTGAGAGCCGCCGCTGCGGTGAGAGCCGCCGTGGTAGGAGGAGTGGTGGCAGGGGCCGCCCAAGAGGACACAGCAGCAATGAGAGGGGCCGCAGTGCCTGTGCAGTGCCTGTGCAGTGCCTGTTCGTCTCCCAAATGGTGCAGATTTGTTCCTTCAATTGAGACAGTAAGACTCTGTCAGGTTGCCTGAACGCGTTGATTCGTGGAACGCAGGGAACTGCAATGCATCCAAACTGGCCAGTGTCCTGAAAGGATACAAAAGGTTTTGATCAGATCGCGGACCAAAACATCCTCCCTTTGCCTGATTTGGGAAGCATGTCCTCAGCAAGAAAGATGCAAACGGAATTGTGCAGAATCGGCGGAGTAGGTTTGCGTTGCTTTGTCCAAGTGGTTTTCTATTCTTCATGACGAGATTGATGTGTTTGTTTGATTAGACTACTTGTGCATATCCCCGAAAAGTTGATGCCACGAGACGATACCAACAACAGATTAACTGTATACCTGGTGGATGGAGTTCAAATACTGTTACTGTATGTTCAACGGACTTTCTGTTTTGGTCCTAGTTGTTTCTTCCTTTTTTGCATGTCTTGGACCCAGCTGCTCAGCAGAAAGCGCCTGCCGCAGGAGAGAAGAAGGCGACGGAGCTCCCACGAGAGATTCACCTTGTGGCTCGGTGGGGACAGCCATTCGCTTTTGGCCTTCAGGGATCCACAGAAAGTGCTTGGCCGGCAGAACGTGCTTGGCCGGCAGAATACGGCCATACAAGGCCCTGATAGATCCTGCGATATCTGCGTTTGTCGGGTGGATGGATCAGAGTGCATGAGTTGCTCCACCCCCTCTTCCACCTACTGCTTGGGCTGGCATGTTTCTTGAATGCAGATCAGGTATCCTCACAACATCAAGAACCACCCAGTCAGAAGGGCAAACTATATACGATGTCCAATAAGGCTTCCAGCATTGGAGAACAGGCTTGCTGTGGTGCACCACATTGTCCAACAAGGCCTCCTGTGCGATGCAGGCACCCAGCAGTTGGAGTCCAGTTGGAGAACAGCAGGCTTCTTTAGCAACGATTATTACGTTGCTGATGGACAAAACTGCGTCCCAAGCTCTTCACCATCCCAAACCATCCAAACTCCAAACCAATTTGCCATGGATCTCCATGGTGTCCCAAACTTATCCAAGTGTCCACCATTCGATCTTGCCTTCCTTCCTTCGCCTCGGACCGTCGCGTTTCGTGTGTCTCGTCCACCCACCCGGTCCCCGAAACAACACATGCGGTGGAGAAGCGCGCGCGCGGTCGCGTGGTGGGAGTCACGCCTTCTCATAGGCCATCCGGGGCTTGGCCGGACTGTTGGCCTTGGTCGACGTGAAGGCCTCCATCTCCATCCATGAGCTTCTTGGAGAGATCGATATGAGACGAGACAGGCCGGTCGCACGAGCAGACGAGACTATACGAGACTGACGTGTTTTATTTTTTTTGCGGGGGTGGAGAAGATCTGAAAGTTTGTTAGAACATCCTTGGAGTATATATATTGGAATTGTTGTGGCAAATACCCATTCATCATCTTTGAAGAACACCCTCCAAGGTTGCGTGAGAAGCTTGAAGAGCAGCTGGGCATTCCGGCTGAGGCGACCTCGTTTTTTCGGGGTGGGGGTCAATCTGCACCTGCCAAGCGTTTTCATTCTGCAATATGTGTTGCAACAACCCGCAAGATAAGCGAAGATAGCAGGCACAGTGGGCTGGAAGTTGTGGTGTGCAATATATATATATATATAGACAGACAGGTTTAGTGAAGGTGATGAGCAGGGACTTGCAGCCTTATCATGCTTATCAGTGTTACATGTTGAAGATACATGAAGATACTGGAGGTGTGGGTAAGAGCTGGACGAGCAAATCCCAACGCCCATATTTTCTGCTATATAACCCTATATAGTGTCGTCACCATATAGTGTCGTCACCAAACAGATAGAAGCAGTAGCACAAATTTCTTCTCTGTTCCATCTATTTGGGGTCTTCTTCAACACTTATATAGTTATAGCAGAAGGGATTGTGGAAGAGCTTTGACTGATGGATTATGGAATGCTAAGGGGAATGAAGCTCAGTGAAGTCCCGAAAGCCACGAGTCAGCGATATCTGCTTGGGGGAGTGGTCGCCGCTGGGTGCTCTCCCTGTTTTTTGCACGGTCAAGACTGGTTAGGTATAGGGTGCAATAGGATTGTGTTAGGTGTAGGTGTGTAGGTGGCTTTGTAGGATTGTGCTAGGTATTTGTGTAGGTGTGGCGTGCCTTTCCGAAACCTTTGGCGAACCAGTCGTTCAAAAAAAATGCCGTTTTCGAAGAACAGCAGGGCAACGATTCACCACGACGTCGACCGTCTGAACCGGTGAGGAGCAGAAATTGCTTCTTGGCACCGCCCCACTCAGCGATTGCGCCTCGCTGTCCACGGCCTTAGGCAAGACCGAGGCGGCGGGGGGCGTGGCGGGACGGGTTCAGACACGTCTAGGTGCCAAGTCGACCAGTCGACAGGCTAGTCCAGGTGCCAAGATGCTTTGTAAATGGCGGAAGGCTGGTTTTAAAAGGACTGGCAACTGAACTTGGGTCCCAAGGAGATCAAAACGTGAATCGACTTTTTACTTAAATGTTGGATATCATATGTGTTTGCCTTTGTTGTTTGAGGTGGCTATCAGCATCGCATAACCTGTCAGCTATAGACAACAACCACCCTCTTATTGTATAGATTGTTATTCAGCAATCAATCAAAGCGTTCCGTCCGTGAACATAGATCCCATTCTGACCATTGTGAGGGCGGACATGGAGGGAGCGTACTGCATCTATCCAGACTCGCTGGTTTTCACAGCCCTTTCGACCCTTAGGCCCTTGGGCGACCCCTGACCCGAGACCCCATGGGGTCCATGAGTCTCTGGGCCCAGGAGGGCAAGTCCGACACTCAAGAACTGACCTTGGTGCGTGTGGCTGAAGAGAGTCAGGAGCGATCTCTTTGGGAACTCCACGGTGGATTTTGGGTAGGAAGCAATGCTTTCGTGCTTTCGCAGTAGAAGTATGGAGAGAACAAAGTAGGGGAGTAGATGAGGGGATTGCTATATCCAGTTGACTCTCGTTGTAGAACAAAAGCCAGTCCTGTGGCTTGCAGAGTAACAAGTATCAGACATCGTGGCACTTGCAGCTTCATGCATAGTGACTGATTAGCTCTACCTGGAGTCTCAAAGTACCTGAGGCAAGTACCTGTTTTTATAGGGTCATGTCCCATGTTCTCGGGTACTTGAAGTCGGGTCCAGGTACATACTTAGACAATCTTAGACATCCTGGCAGGGATTTGCGAACATGTGCTCAGATGTTCTTGCCAGATCCTATCAGAAGACTCTGGTGAGACCGTGAGAGGCCAGAACTTGATTCCCACTACCAGGCTGCCAGGTCCGGTTTTTCACTTTGGCCAAAACTCCGAAACGGACCCCAGAGGATCCCAGGCATCCACTATAGTCACTATTACGTAAGGAACGACGAAGCGTTCGGTTTGTGGTTTTAGTCGAACTGGAACCACTGGTTTCATACACCTAAGTATATATATAGTGATTATAGTGGTAAACTGGATCTCCTAAAGAACATGTTTGATTCTTCGGCTCTTCCAGTCCTGCCCATTCTCGGAGTCTCGCACGTCCCGCAGGACCGATCCGGCTGGTTAGACCGGGATGCATGGAATTGGCGCTAGGCCACACACCACGTGTGCCAGCGCAGTTGCAAAGAAAGCTGGGCATGGAACATCGGGCTTCCCGACCTGGAGACAACTTGGAGAGACAGAGTTGAGCTTTGATTGTGTTGTGGGACTGACTCTCAATCTTGTTTTGTGGCATTCACACAAAAATGGCGGCCTGTCGACCTGTCAACAACGATGTAGTTCAGTGTTCATCTACACTTTCCGATGGGAAGGGATGCAGCTGTTTGTGGTGAGTGTTAGCCATACCAACTCAGAGACAACTCTCCGGTCCCTGTGGTCGTCATTCGAAGTGACCATCGCCCGGTCGTTTTTATTGAACATGGTAAATACTGATTCATGCAATCAAAGAACATTAGTCCCTCCCAGGCTTGTCTATGCACTTCTCAACGTTACAAATGTCACCACTGCCCTATAGATAGGCTCTCCCCTAGCCAAAAGGAGTGAAAAGCACGGTTAAGCTGACTCCCGGGATTGCATCGCAAGTCGAAGTGGAATTACTATTGCTGAGGCAAACATAGTAAGACCCTCTCTAGCAAGACCCACTGAACCATTTCCAAGCACAACATGTGTTTGTTGGTGTTGTGAGTACTTCTCAATTGATCTCAATTGCATATGTCTGCTGCACCATTGCGGTCTTCACCTGTATGCCAGTGATTCCAAGTGTTTTTTTTCGGGAAGAAGCCCCTTCTGCCCTGTGTACAAAAGCTTTGGCCAAGCTTGGACCTGAGCCCCTGCCCGCGCTTTCCTGAAACTTTCGGGCAAAGACAGCGGCGTTTGAGGCGAGCGAGCACCCATGTGGCTGTGTGAGAAGTTGCATGTGACTGTTTTAGAAAGGGATCCCCTGCTGCAATTTCTGTGAGGTTGGTGCCTTTTTTTGAGCAGGGACCAGAACGCTGTGGAGTCATTTTGAGGTTACAAACTAATCTGGCTGAGATGAGTCGTCCAACTGTCTGATATTTTGACAACTTTTGGATTTGGTTTTCACCTCATATTCCGCACAAGCTGTGCCATGGCATTTGGTCAAACGGTATCAAGATGTTTTGTGAAGACTGAGATCCACGATTGGCCCTGTTGTTTCCTGTGAGCCCAATCGTGGATTTGCAGCGCCGAGACGAAGGCTTTAGGTGGATTGGCAAAGCCGAAGAGGTACAAGCCTGCATCCTGATGTAGACAGCCGCCCGAACAACCTGATACATGTGTGGGGTAGATAAATTCCTACATTGACAACTCTTCAGGTACCGCATTATCAGATCCAGAAAACTGTAAGGGACGATGGTTGTTTCATGGGCGTAGGTCTGAATGGTAGTCTGAACATGGCTGAATTGGATCTTGCATGCATTGTTTATTTCATGATTCAGAAATTCCATATTTCAACGTTAAGGATTGACTGAGGAGGGGCTACCGGCTGCAGTGGTCTTTTTTTTGACCGTTTTGTTGACTGTGGAAGGGTCCAACACGTCCAATTTCCAGATCGTCCATGATTTGCGCCGTCTCGCACGCTGGCGCGATCGGTGGGGGGGGAGGTCTGCAGCGATCCTCAGTTTTTGGAGGCGCTGAAACTTTTAAACTCTTGAGACAGGAGGTGGTGTGTCACATTGCACATCCTCCTGCATATATGTTTGGCCGTCGAAGAGTTGCTACCAAGACCGATCTGAAAATCACGTACGACGTACTTGTTGCAATGCAGAAGACTTGAGGACAGCTATGTTCGCCAAAGTCAAGATGAACCAACACAGCAATGAAACAGCGTTGTCCAATCGGTTAAAGACTGCTGGTTGTTAAATCTATAGTTCAATGATTTATGCTGGTTTATCAGAGCCAATTATGTTATTCATTGCCTCCAACATCCTCCAACAACCACACAAAAAACAATAGCATGCCTAATTACATACCTTTGTTTTGCCAAGCATTTGCCGCAACATGGTTGCTGCATATAAATGAATACGCATGCTACAAGTATGTTATGCTTTATTTAGGTATTTCTAACGTTTATTTTGGAGTACTGTTGTTGGAAACTGGAACATAATATCCAACATACAGTAGATTTCTATAGTCACTCCTAATGTTTTATAATGCTTTATAAATTGTATATTCTCCTCAATGCCGTAGAACCATTGGGAGCAGCACCCACCTTGCAGTCCCCCAGTCCCCCAACCATTACACCATGGGCTCTTGTCTATGTTCCCTTAAATTGAGACACAGCGGGCTCAAGTGAAGTCCAAACGCCGCCGTTTTCGGATCGGCACGGAAGATTGACTGTTGGGTGGCGTCAGACGTCGTATTTCACGTTTGGCACTGGGTATTGACTGCGCAAACAGCGAAGTTGTTTCCGCACTACGAAGTTGTTAAAGACCAACAAAGACCTGGGGGTCTTGAGCGATGCAGTATTTCCTTCCATCAATCGGATTGTTTCCCTAAACTGCCCTGGTGATAGGAAACATATATAATATATATATATCATGTATAAACGTGTTTGTTTCCAGGTCACTGTCCTTGCTTTGGTCCATGAACCATGACACCAGAATCTGCTCAACTGATTCTACAGCTCCTCTTCGACAGCCGCTATGAACGGAGTAAACGACTGTGCAGAGATGTCTGAAGGAAAGGCTTGGGCCGGCCTTGAGAAGAGCTACAACTAGAGTAAAGGACCTGAGAGTGTGATTCATTCATATAAAAACACATGGCTTGCGGCCGCGGCCGTCTCAGAACTGGGAGAGAGCCAGACCGGGGGTGGCGGTTTTGTGGGCCAACTGATAGGTGGATTGGCTTGGAGGGATAGCTGCTAAGCTAGTATCTTTTGTATGTTGAGGGAGACGAGAGGTTTAGGGCTGATATACGATGTTTAATCATGTTCTGATGTTCCATCCAGAGGCCAGACATAAACGAGCCTGGGCCTGGGATTCTCAAACGAAACTGTTGGCAGCATATTTGATGTTGCATTGTCCGGGTAGCGGTGTCTTGACTGCTCAATGTCAAATTGTGCTACGGCGCAACTCATGAGAAACCATAGTAGCCATGGCACATGAAAGGAGAAAGAACACACATGCCCAGGATTATGGTAGGTCAAACATCCACCAACATATGGTTCTCTACAATTTGTCAGATTCACAACCTTTTATCCGGCTCACTGAAAGAATTGATTTTGTGGATGATAACAATGGTTTGTATGTTTCTCAGGGTATCTACAAGAATCTGTCATGGACAGTGTCCTGCACCACCTGAGATACCCAAGTGCCTGATCCACAGCAGAGTGGACATCGGCTTCCGGAGGGGTTGATTCATTGTTGGTCAAACAATCATGTTTCATCATGTTTCAAACAATCATGTTTCATCATGTTTCATTACACCAAATACGTAGGCACACGAAAGGCATACTGTCATGCAAGCTCATGCAAGCTCATCATTTCGAGGTCCTGTCGTTTTGAGACAGACCCCAGGCCGTTCCAGATTCTTGTTCCTAGCCAAGCCTGACACTTCAAAGAGAACGCTGCAGGCAGCTGCGACCGACCAGTCGTGTATCCGGTTGCCTGGCGACGTTCTTGGCCGGAGGTGGCGCATGGACCAGCAAGTCTTCCGCAGGTGTTCCTTCTTAGACAGGACAAACGAAGGACTCCTGAAGACCTGGAAGAATCTCTTTCTTAGGCCCAAGTGAACTTCAGAGCTCACGGATCATTCTTGTCCAAACTATATTCGCTCGATTCATCTCGATTCGCTATACCTTCTGAGCAAGCGTGGGCCTGGCCCCGCGTTGTGAATCCGGCCATGGCGCAGTGGAATTTGAAGCTGACTGGTGCGAGGGAGGTGCGAACCTGACTGTTTGCTGGGAACTTTTCAGAGGCTACTAGGAGCAAGGACGCTACTAGCGGCTCCTAATTCTGTTGGGAACCATCAATCTCTGCTCTCACCTCTCAGCAGTCAAGACGTCTGGCAGATTTGTGGGCGTGTCGCTCAAGCAGATGCTTGACCTGGACTGGCAGACTGGACCCAGCAGGTTTTCTGCCTCCTGAGCTGCAGGTTTCACAGGTCATCAACGGAATCTATCATGTGAATGAAGCAGACACGGCACGTTTCCAAAGCTATACTCTTCAATACCCATGGAACCGGTACATCGTCGGAGCATATCGATCCTCTTCAGGACCCTGCTTGACCCTTGGCTCGCGGCTGCTCGACAGCCTTTGGGCTCCTTCTCATCTCAGATCGCGTCTTTCCGGTCAGTTTTTTTTCTGGCAAAAAACACCTCCTACATGGCCCAAGAAAGATATAGATTATGTCAGATCGCTTTTCCCATCTATGAAAGGAAAGAAGAACACATGGACCCACATGGACACCCCATCCTTTTTTCGAATCACCCCGTGGAGGCCAGGAGGCTCCCGATGGACCTGCCCTCCCTCTTTCGGTACGGTGATGTGTTCGACACACACAGAGGGTGTACCTGATGGTACCTGGCACTGATCCCCTTGTTCTTCTCAATTACGGACATCATTATCATTGGTCCACCTGGTTGTGGCCTGCTGCAGTTTACGCTTTGTTGGGGTGTACAGGCCAGTCCAACACGAGCCCAGCACAGAGCGCACGATCCAATTGCGAGGGGGAGGCCACGATCCAATTGTACGGCACGAAGAGTTGGAGATGGATCCATACTGGAGTCCTCAAACCAAAATGCAAAAAGCAGCAAACATTTACAGTACTTGGCTGTTTCATTCCAAGATGTGTACTTTTGTTTTGGACTCTTCACGGTTTGAGTTGATGTGTCCCTCTGTTTGCATGTAATTTTGTTGGATTTGCGCGGTGTTTCCAGGACAGGTTTCGCGCTACATCCCTTATTTTTCAAGTTGTCAAGATTGCTGACAGAGAAACCAGATTCAAAAAAGATTGGATACACACAGAAACGGTTCGTTCCTTCTCTGGCCGGGGGTCTCTTCTGGTGCTTCCTATGTTCATCCTAAAAGATCCTAAAAGTGCTTTTGAAGACCTTCAACCATGAATCAGGATAATCAGGCCCACCATGGCCCACCGTCTCTTTTCTTGTTCAAAGACTGGCCAAACGAAGCACCATGACTGGCGAGCAGCTTCCCCGTCGGCCTGGATCGCGCTGAAAAAGTCCTGTG